CAGCCACGATCACCTGTAACATGCAAGTCTGTTCTATTACTGTCAGTTCTGATCACATGTAAGGCGATACATTATTATCGGAGGATGGAGGCAACGTGAAGAGAAGTAACTCTAAGTTTGTTTTCCGATACAAGGAAGTGGGCCCACATTCGAAAATAAAGCAGCTATGTATTATTTAACAAGTATAATCAGGTATTGCTAAGAAAATAAATTCAAAACGTTGTGTATTTCTTGAAATAAACGACTGATGGAAATGTTTAAAGATGAACACACAATCAAAAGTCAGGGTTGAAACCCCGCGAAACTGTCAGATTCGGACCTCATGAATATTAATGAGACAAGCCCCCGTCGTGTCATTGGAGAAGCTGTGAGCCAGGCGACGTTCTATTGGCCCAAATAATCGACCTTCGTGGGTAAGGTCAAAGGTAAGTCTAATTTGCATACTACTGTTCCCATAGATTTTTACTACGAAGTTATCACTCGGTTTGAAGTTCAAAATAATGGGAAATGGACGAATTCCGTGAGTGTTGCGTGACGAAATATTGTGAAAAACGTTTATTACAGTGTCCTAAAGAATTTTGGCTCAAACGAAGTTATCCCATTGTGTGTCAAAAAGAAAGATTTTGCAAAATTTGTGGACTGCCATCTCAAGAAAAAAGTGATTACATTGAAGATTTTCAAGAGGATGAAGCAAATTACAGATTTTATGACACAGGTTTCAGACCACTTTTCCCAGAACATTCAGTTGATGTGCTGTGCTATTTTAAATATACACTGAGACAGAAACGAACCATCAATGGGAAAAGATACAGAAGAAATGTTTTGTATGCTGTCTTTTACATAAATAGTCTGAACTTGAAATTTTTTATACATCAGACATTTACATACCCACCCAGGTCATGCATTGAACTTACAGTCAGATCCTTGCTTGCAAAATATGTCTCTGGATTCCATGAGAACTATGATTACTTAGGTGCCTGCTTCTGTGTGTCATACATAATGTTTTTTTCAAACATATCCTGAATGAATTAAAAGCAGTGTCTAATAACCTACCAGCTAAGGAATGAAGAGTAATTCAGCTTGTACATTGGTGGTCCAAAAAAGAAACAGTCCTATTTAACTCAAATAGGAAGTTTCACAGAAGATAGTATTGATGAAAACCTGTGTGAGAACTGGTCAAGTATTTCTGAGTTGGAATATGACAATTTCACTTTTCATTTCCTTCCTGGAAAAGTTGATGAAATGTTTGGAAGCTGTTATAACAGATACAAGTTTGCAGTAATTAGACATAATGGATTTGACATTCTGGTGATCAGCAGACTTGATGGTCTTACCTTTGTTGGGAGACTTTACTGGTGGGTCAGTTCCATCTTATCTTCAGGAATTTATTCCAAGCAATACACATGCTGGCTGGCCGTTGAGACATTCAAGCATTTCACAGGATATTCACTGATGTAATTGTGTGTTTAAATCAAAATGGAAGTTACAGTTTTAGATATAGCTTCAATTTGCAGTGACTCTGAGAAAACACTTGACTATATGAAAAGGAACAAATTACTGGCTTCCTCACAAATATGTAGCATATGTAATGTGAATATGTTGTGGCAGAAAGACAAACAGAACGCTGATGGCCATAACTGGCGATGTCCTAAATGTAGAAAAACAAAGTCAGTGAGATTAGGTAGTCTTGGTACTTTCCTCATGATATTGTATCTGTTTTGCATTGATGTACCCCTGTCCACTTGGCTCTCAAAATGCTTGATGTTTGTGAGACAACATTGTACAATTGGTACAATGGTACAATTTATACAGAGACTTAATGTCTCGTGCATTATTAGATGAGCCAGTTACTTTAGGGGGTGGGGGTGGGGTGTTTGGCCATACTGTGGAGGTGGATGAAAGCAAATGGGGTAGAAAGAGAAAATACCACATGGGTTCCAGTCAGGGTATTCCTACCTATTGGGTTTTTGGTCTCATAGATAGAGACACTAAAAATGTTCTTTTATTCAGTGTTGAGAACAGAACCACTGAAACATTACTACCCATAGTACTTGCCCATGTTGAAGTTGGCACTCAGATCATAACTGACGAATTCAAATCATATCTTTGCTTAGAGAGAAATGGTTATGAGCACCAAACAGTTTGCCACAAAAACAATTATGTAGATCCTCATACTGGGGCTCACATCAATACCATTGACGGGTTTTGGGGTAATGCCAAATCAAAGTTTAAATCCATGCATGGTGTATCCAAAGGGCAGCTTGGTGCGCATCTTGATGAACTTATGTTCCGTTGGAACAACAAGAATGAGTGCATGTTTTCCCTCATGACAGATCTCATTAGGAAATACCACCCCTTTTACTAGTTTTTTCTGCTTGGTGTTCATAATTTTACAGAAACAGTATATACTTGTTGGTAAATACTTCCAGGTCTCTGATGTAAAATTATTTCCATCACAGTAATGAGTTTTAATTAACTGTTGTTCTTGTTTCTATATATTCATTATAGTTTCATTTCCCTCAGCATGATTTAAGTGATAAGCCTGCATATGGACACACTCAATACAATCAACCTGATGATGTGTCCACACAAACCACGAATCCCACGAATTGCAACGAATTGACAAATTTGAGTATTCGTAGTTAAATCGTTATCAGTTCGTGAAGTTCTTAACTAATTCGTAATATAGTCGTAGTCAGTTCTTGCAGTTCTTGGGTAATCGGGAATTCGTGGCCAAAGTTTTTAACTGTTCCAAATTTTGGCCACGAACTCCCGATTAAAAATAATCGTAGTTAATTCGTAACAGATTCGTAGTGCATTCTTAGGCATCGTAACCAAATCGTGATCAATTCTTAGGTATTCTTAACTCATTCGTGTATTCGTCAGTTCGTGGTTTGACAACGAATCGGCTACGAATCTGTCAGGAATCCCACAAATTCACGCCGAAGCAGTTACGAAGCAAGTAACTACCTACGAATCAGCTACGACAGTAAATTGGGTATATAAGGAGTTTAACATTCACTTCCGGTCATTAGCTGCTGACGATTGTGCAACGTATCCACGTATTAGCAAGATGCCAAGAAAAGCTGCAAGTAAGGGCAAGGCGAGAGGGAAGAGAAGCAAGAGAGCCAGGGAAGAGGGAGAAGAAGGCAGCACCTCACCCCCAACCCCCACAAGAATAGCTCCCCCTCCACTGTAAGATGAAGCAGCTCCAGAAGTTGAAAACAATGTGGCAGATTCAGCAGCTCAGTCAGTGGGTGCTGAGTCATTGGCTGGTGATGTTGGTGATGATGATGAAGTAGCAGCTTCTTCCCAGTATAAGAGTAAGAAAGTCAGGTTCTTGTCCAACCTTACAGAGGACGAACAAGAGGATGTGTCCCTCTTCCTTGAGAGGAATGTCTTCATCTACAACAAGAGGCGGTTAGACCACCTCTGAGTCTCTAAAATAAATAAGGCGTGGGAAGATCTGGCCCAGGAGATGGGGAAGGAGATGAAGGCATTGACTACATTTTTTGTGAGCATCCGTACCCAGATAGGGAAACTCAGGAGGAAGAAGAGTGGTCAGGCATCTTTTGAGATGACAGACCGCCAACAGTGGATATGGACCAGATTCCAGTTCCTGATGCCCCACATCGGACATGTCACCCAACGCATAGTCCAGAGCTTCCGGAGTGGCGCCACCACCAGCCAGTGTGATGAGTTCCAGGAAGAGGAGCTACAGTATCAAGTGACCACCACACCGTCCACCACCACTTCCGGGAGAACGAGTGTGACCGTGTCCAGCACCAGCGGATCCAGAGGCAAAATAATGGGGGCCGAAACCTTAGACCAGGAGCTGCACACCTGCAAGGACCGTCAGGAGAAGCTGTTACAGATCCTGCAAGCGCCTTCTGTGCCTGAGGTCCCCCATCCAGAGAGGTTAAAGTTCGCGGAGTACCTCGGGCATGCTTTCCAGAACCTGTCCCAGTCAATCTACCGTGACGTACAGAAGGCCATGTTTGACCTTCTGTTCAACGCTGAGAAGCAGGCAGATCTGGAAGCAGGAAGAAGCACCGGCACCTTCCTCAACTGTACCAGCAGTGGCAGCGAGACCCCTCGCAGTGGCAGTTCAGACCGGTGGCCCCAGCTGGGTCGGTGTGACACTCACAGGAGCCAACCTGGGTCGACAGGCAGTTCCCAGGATACAGCTAGTCTCCAAGCCAACAGGAACTGCCCCGTCAAAGGTCATCACAGACAGCTACCTAAACCAACCTGGTGCCTCCTGCCCAGAGCCAGCAGCCCCGGTCGTCCTCCAGTGCCTCGGAGCATCAGCAGGAAGCGTCATTCAACCTGTCTGAGATACTGATGGACATCAGCCCCACAGCAGTTGCCACTCGGGTCACACAGACCTCGACGGCAACCGCTCAGCTTGACAGGTCCACACTCTCCACTCCATAGACTGTGTGTTTAGCTGTGTACATCTTACGCTGTGCGCTTTTAGCTGGGTGCTCTTAGTGATATGTTTATGTCTAAAAATTCCTCTCAAAGAGTTTATGTTTTTGTTTGATATGATATGATTATGATATGAATGTACTTAGATAAGCATTTCTATCTTTCAGTTTTATATAATACCAATAAAACTTGAAAAAAGATATAAAAAAGAATAAAGTTTGTTTTTGTTTGCGTGGTCCGAGCAGAGATATTGACAGATGGATTGGGGCAATGTGAACATTGCAAAAACAAAACATTCATGACATAAAGCAGAAATTCTAAGATAGTGAAGGAGGGAGCTGTTGTGCCAGTAGTCAGTAGAGCAATACAAGCCCTCTTGGGTCTCTTGTTTTCATAAACATTTTATTAGCGCTAATAAGCATTAATAAACACTATTAACATAATTTTAGCATGAAATATCAACATTTATCATTTAGTTAACATTCACTCCTGCCTGTCTTTCTTGCTACGGCACTGAACCTGCTTCACTGTTAAAGTAGGCCTTAAGATAGTCTCTCATCACTTTGCCCTCACGATTGTCTCTGTTGGGTGCCTGGAACTGGGGTATCTCCTCCACCTATTGGTCTGCCCTCCAGCACCAGGGATATTGGTGTGGTCCTCATCCTCCCGATTGCATCCTCTGCATTGCCAATAGCAGGGAATCTGATCCTCAGTAAGTTGTGGAGGATGACTCCGCACCACATCAGGTCCAGGGTGCCCAGGAAGCATCTCCATCTGTTGGCCAGTATTCCGAAACCATTCTCCACCACACGTCTGCCCCTGGATAATCTGTAGTTGGCCAGCAGCATGTCATTGTCCAGACCCCTCCTGCCATAGGGTTTCATGAGAAAAGTCCTCAGAGGAAATGCATCATCCCCCAGGATGTAGTAGGGTGTGTCTCTGTCATCATTGGTCATGGTATCGCTGTCCGGGAAGTTTATGGTGTTGTCATCAATGCACTCTTTCAGTTCTGAAGCACCAAACAGCTGTGCGTCGGATTGATGACCTTCTCCACCAGTGTCTATCCAGATGAATTTATAGTCCGCATCCACCAGGGCCAACAGCACCACGGAGAAAAACAATTTGTAGTTGAAGAACACACTGCCTGAGTTGTGTGGTTTCCTGATGGCTATGTGCTTGCAATCCAAGGCCCCCAGGGCATGAGGAACATTCCACCGGTCTTGGAACTGCTGGGGAATGTCTTTACAGTCCTCCTGGGTCCTTGGCAGTGGCATGACTTCATCCTTCAGCTCCTGTGTGATGGCCTGACAGACTTGATGCACAATCCATACCACTGTGCTGTAGCCACACCGGAAGTCATACTGGATGGTGTGATACCGGTCTCCTGTAGCCAGGTGTCTGAGAGTCATGGCTAGCTTCATTCCGGCATCTAGGGCTGGTCTCCCTGTGGATGGTCGCTCCTCTGGATAACTGGGCTAATCCTGTTGAGGAGCTCATCAAACATGTAGGGTGGAATTCTCACATAGTTGGGAAATACATTCTCATTTTCCACTCTCAGCTCTTGCATCAGTCTGTTGCAGTGACTATATTCTAGTCTTCTATCTGATGTCAGCCACGGTCTAACCAACCACCTGGGTGCTCTTCTCCTCCTCCTTCGAAACAGTCTTCTGATAGTGATCAGCAGCTGGTGTTGATACTCCAGTTCCAGGGTCAATACGACAGCTGCTCTACGTTGAACATCCATTTTGGAACTGATACCCAAAAAAGGGTGACGACCCTTTTATACCTATCTCCCACCAATTGTCCAGAGTAGTCACGAATTCATTTATTCGTACCTGATTCGTACGTGCATTCGGCCTATTCTTAACTGATTCATAACTGATTCCTAATATTCGGGCAGTATTCGTAGTAGATTCTTGTAAATCGTAGTGAATTTTTGACAATATTCGTGAGATTCCAGCCGAATCCCACGAATATTCGTACCTGTATCGTACCTGTATCGAAAATGAATCGTAGAGCGTCACGAATGGACGCAGAAAAGTTGTACAATTCCACGAATCAGCACGATTTCTTACGAATCCTCAAATTTATCAATTCGTGGCGATTCGTGGGATTCGTGGTCTGTGTGGAATAGGGGCATAAGGAATTCAACAAGTGCAAATACAATCTTGTTCATTGAGGGGAAATTAAAGTTGTTTTAGTTGAATTTCATGCAGTTTGTGTTATATTATAAAAACCAAAAGGCATTTACAGAATACCATGATAAAAAAAGTTTCTAAATGTGGGCCCACTTATTTTCGGCTCCTATAACAGGCCCTGAAGTGGGCCCACATTTTGGAATGACATTATTGCCACTGTATGCACTTGGTTCAACAATATATATTGATGGAAATAATGATGCTACAAAATAATTCCCGATATATGAACGTTTACAATACATGTATCTCATTACTTCGTTCGGTAATTTCAAACTTACCCTGTGACCGTGTTTGCACAAGTGGAGCCAAAACAGCAAATACGAAACTAAAGCGCTTAACTCCTAATGCGGGAAACATGCTCAGAGTTACTTCCCTTCATCCAGCGATAATAATGTTTCGCCACATGTAACATGCAAGTCCGTTCTACTACTGTCAGCCTAATCACCTGTAACATGCAAGTCTGTTCTATTACTGTCAGTCCTGATCACCTGTAACATGCAAGTCTGTTCTATTACCGTCAGTCCTGATCACATGTAACATGCAAGTCTGTTCTACTATTGTCAGCCTAATCACCTGTAACATGCAAGTCTGTTCTATTACTGTCAGTCCTGATCACCTGTAACAAGCAAGTCTGTTCTACTATTGTCAGCCACGATCACCTGTAACATGCAAGTCTGTTCTATTACCGTCAGTCCTGATCACCTGTAACATGCAAGTCTGTTCTACTATTGTCAGCCCTAATCACCTGTAACATGCAAGTCTGTTCTATTACTGTCAGTTCTGATCAAATGTAACATGCAAGTCTGTTCTACTACTGTCAGCCTCGATCACCTGTAACATGCAAGTCTGTTCTATTACTGTAGGTTCTGATCACATGTAACATGCAAGTCTGTTCTACTATTGTCAGCCTCGATCACATGTAAGATGCAAGTCTGTTCTATTACTGTCAGTTCTGATCACATGTAACATGCAAGTCTGTTCTACTACTGTCAGCCTCGATCACCTGTAAGATGCAAGTCTGTTCTACTACTGTCAGCCCTAATCACCTGTAACGTGCACGCTGTACGCTATATGGCAAAAACATTGATCTGGTGGAAAATACCCAACGATATTTCGCTAAATGTATTCAAGGGTTCAACAGACGTATGCCAACAGATTCTGTATGTGCCAACCTAGGTCTCTGGACAATGGTGAGGTACATTGACAAGTGTAGATTATTATTCCTTGGAAGATTATGTAATAACGCTTGTAATTCATCAACGAAAACACTGTTCTGTGCATTTTTAGCACTCACTGTTCACTTAAATATTAGCTCACGCAGTATTTGCAACACTCTGTTATGTACTGCACGGAAGTATAATCTATTGGACTATGTATTAACTTACGTGCAAACTGATATTTTTCCGTCAAAGACAGTTTGGCACAGAATAGTTATAGGTTGTATCTTCTCTTATGAAGAAGTTCAATGTAAATTGAGACTCTCCATTAGGGAAAATATGTCCAGATATGCTGTAATCCATCAAACACTGAATCTACATAGACTTTACACTCTAATGTATCTGTACCCAGAATATAAAGTCCATATACAACTTGATGTACTAGTCGGTTCTAAAGCCAAATTCTCAAAAGAATGTATGCTTTGTAATAAGTACTGCTATGACCACGATGCCCACATCATTTTGCATTGTGAATCTGTAATGAACCAAAGAAATAATTTTTATATGACGCTACTTGACCTACTGGACGTTGAATTATATGTATTAATTGAAATGCTTGATGATGAAGATGCCCTTGTACTGTTTTGTGGTGCAAAACTTCACATCCCTGGCCTTCATGAAACAGCATGGCAAACCATCATACTACATTTTTCGAACTATATCTATTCTTTAAAGGATTCCTTCATGTATACTTTCTGAACTATCATTGTTGTAAATAACCGTGCTTTGTACATGTCATATGTAGATATATGTAACTGACTGATGTTTGTTTATGTAATCTTCGAACATATTTTTGGAGGGAATAAAGACATTCATTCATTCATTCTTTCACTATTGTCAGCCCTAATCACCTGTAACGTGCAAGTCTCCTCATCTATAGTCAGCCTCAATCATCTGTAACATGCAAGTCTATTCTACTACTGTCAGCTCCAATCATCTGTGACATATAAGTCTCTTCATCTATAGTCAGCCTCAATCATCTGTAACATGCAAGTCTATTCTACTACTGTCACCTCCGTTCATCTGTAACATGTAAGTCTCTATCTATTGTCAGTCCCGATCTCCTGTAACATACATATATATTCTACTACAGCGCGGAACCCACCTGCATCTTAGTTCCCAGTCTGGAAGACCATAATCTCGCTACATGCTAGTTCCCAATCTACTGGCAGACCAGACTTTCCCTGCATGTTAGATCACCACCTTCTGGCAGTCCAGAACCTCGCTACATGTCAGTTAGTTCCCCGACTACTGGCAACCCAGAACCATGCTACATGTTACTTAGTTCCCCGCCTACTGCCAGCCCAGAAGCTCGCTACATGTTAGTTAGTCACCCATCTACTGGCAGCCCAGAATCTCCCTCCATGTTAGTTAGTTCCAAACCTACTGGCAGCCAAGAACCTCCCTCCTTGTTAGTTAGTTCACCACCTACTGGCAGCACAGAACCTCCCTCCATATTAGTTAGTCCCCAACCTACTGGCAGCCCAAAACCTCGCTACATGTTAGTTAGTTCCCCACCTACTGCCAGCCCAGAACCTCTCTACATATTAGTTAGTTCCCCTTCTACTGGCAGCCCAGAATCTCCCTCCATGTTAGATAGTTCCCCACTTAATGGCAGCCCAGAAGCTCCCTACATGTTAGTTAGTTCCTAACCTACTGGCAGCCCAGAACCTCGTTACATGTTAGTCAGTTCCCAACCTACTGGCAGTCCAGAACCTCGTTACACGTTAGTTCTTCATTAAGTGGCAGCCCAGAACCTCCCTCCATGTTAGTTAGTTCCCCAACTACTGGCAGCCCAGAACCTCGCCACATGTTAGTTTGTTCCACACCTACTGGCAGCCCAGAACATCCCTACATGTTAGTTAGTTCCCAACCTACTCGCAGCCCAGAACCTCGCAACATGTTAGTTAGTTACCGGCCTGCTGGCAGCACAGAACCTTGCTACATGTTAGTTAGTTCCCCACTTAATGGCAGCCCAGAACCTCCCTCCGTGTTAGATAGTTCCCCAACTACTGGCAGTCCAGAACCTTGCTACATGTTAATTAGGTCCCCACCTAATGGCATCCCAGAACCTCCCTACATCTTAGCTCCACATCAACTGGCAACCTAGAACATCCCTCCATGTTAGTTAGTTCCCCAACTTCTGGCAACCCAGAACCTCGCAACATGTTAGTTACTTCCCCACCTACTGGCAGCCCAGAAGCTCGCTACATGTTAGTTAGTCACCCATCTACTGGCAGCCCAGAATCTCCCTCCATGTTAGTTAGTTCCAAACCTACTGGCAGCCAAGAACCTCCCTCCATGTTAGTTAGTTCCCCACCTACTGGCAGCACAGAACCTCCCTCCATATTAGTTAGTCCCCAACCTACTGGCAGCCCAAAACCTCGCTACATGTTAGTTAGTTCCCCACCTACTGCCAGCCCAGAACCTCTCTACATATTAGTTAGTTCCCCTTCTACTGGCAGCCCAGAATCTCCCTCCATGTTAGATAGTTCCCCACTTAATGGCAGCCCAGAAGCTCCCTACATGTTAGTTAGTTCCTAACCTACTGGCAGCCCAGAACCTCGTTACATGTTAGTCAGTTCCCAACCTACTGGCAGTCCAGAACCTCGTTACACGTTAGTTCTTCATTAGGTGGCAGCCCAGAACCTCCCTCCATGTTAGTTAGTTCCCCAACTACTGGCAGCCCAGAACCTCGCCACATGTTAGTTTGTTCCACACCTACTGGCAGCCCAGAACATCCCTACATGTTAGTTAGTTCCCAACCTACTCGCAGCCCAGAACCTCGCAACATGTTAGTTAGTTACCGGCCTGCTGGCAGCACAGAACCTTCCTACATGTTAGTTAGTTCCCCACTTAATGGCAGCCCAGAACCTCCCTCCGTGTTAGATAGTTCCCCAACTACTGGCAGTCCAGAACCTTGCTACATGTTAATTAGGTCCCCACCTAATGGCATCCCAGAACCTCCCTACATCTTAGCTCCACATCAACTGGCAACCTAGAACA